CAGCTATCACCTTCTAGCCCTGTCCCTATGGTTTTATGTCTGATAGCTAGGCCCTATATTCAAAAGGTTCCACAGCCTCCCAAAACAGCGCCCCCAACTGGGGACCAAGTACTCAAGCCGATAAGCCTGCGGTTCCCATTTAGGATTCCCATATACTGGATTCTCCTGTCCTCCAGTCGCTCTAGCCAGTCTGGGAGAGAGTGATTGCTCTATGACTTCATACTTACAGACTCAAGAAAAGTTGATTTTTCAGTTGCTTCTTAGGTGGAGTAATGACTTACTTCCTCGCTTTTCATACAGCAGACCAGAAACTGGAAGCCACGTTTTTTTGTTTCTTTTACTTTCCCCAAATAATGCAAACAATCCAAACACCCATCAACAGGCATCTGGATAAACGAAAGGCGGCATATCTATGCACAGTAATGATAGTTAACAATAAAACAGAACAAGCTACTCAGACATACTACACATCAATAAACCTCAAACCCGCTGAGCACAAGAAGTCAGACCCAGAAGAACACCCAGGATGTGATTCTATTTGTATGAAATGTTCAGGGAAAAAAATCTTTGGAGACAAAAAGCAAATTAGTGGTTCCCTGGGGCTGCTGGTGCAAACAGTAAAATAGTCGCAGGGGGTTTTACTGGAAGATGGAGGAGTTCTAAAATTGGATTGTGGTGTACCCACACGACTTCTTCACTTACTCAAAACGACCATATACAAAAGACAAGTCAATTTTGTGAAGTGCAAATAATATCTCACGAAAGCTCATTACTGAAAAGAATAAAGGGTTATCTATAAACACATGACAGTATCAAATAAGCAATGGTTCACCTTACCCTGATGGCTCAAGCTCAACCCCACCCCATTTCACTCTTCTTTATTACCTGTATTTCCTCAAAATGGCAACAACAGATAAAACACATGGCGGACATTTCTCATATCCTTGCAACTTTTGAAAATAGCTGCACATGGTGGCGCATGCCTTTAGTCCCAGCACTCGGGAGGTAGAGGTGTTGGATTTCTGAGTTCCAGGCCAGCCTGGTCTACAGAATGAGTTCCAGTACAGCCAGGGCAACACAGAGAAACCCTGTCTCAAAAAAAGTTTTGGGGATTGTAATATATTTACATCATTTCCCCCTTCTTTTTCCTCCCTTTATCACCTCCCATGTAGTTCCTTTGCTCTTTCTCAAATTCATGGTCTCCTTTTCTTTAATTGTTGTTTTACACACACACACACACGCGCGCGCGCACGCGTTCGAGAGCGTGTATTCCTAAATACAGAAGTACAACCTGCTCAGTCTATGTAATGTATGTATATGTTTTCAGGAATGACCATTTGATATTGGATAACCAATCTGTGTACCTGTCCCTGGGGAAGACTGTTTCTCTCTGCTCCCTGCATCCTAAATTGCCTGTGGTTGTCTATGAGTTGAGGCCTGGTGAGCTTCCCTTCTTTCATGTTGGCATATCTGACAAGGTGGCATCCTTGTTCAGGTCTTGTTTAGGTAGCCATGTTGGTAAGACTTCTTGGATATAGCTTCTCTGACATTTCTAGGAGACACAATCTTACAGCAAGCCTCCTGGTCCTCTGGCCCTTTCTGCCCCTTCTTCTGCAAGGATCCCTGAGCTTTAGGTATAGGAGTTGTGGTGAGGTTGTATCCATTGAGACTGAGCTCCACAACTTTGCATTTTGATTGGTTGTGGTTTTCTGTAATAGTCGTCATCAGTACTGGTTGGTTTTGTGTGTCAACTTGACACAAGCTAGAGTCATCAGAGGAAGGAGCCTTAGTTTAGGAAATGCCTTTGAGGAGATACAGCTGTAAGACATTTTCTCATTTAGTGGTCAATGGGGATGGGCCTACTCCATGGTGGATGGTGCCATCCCTGGGCTGGTGGTCCTGGGTTCTATAAGAAGGTAGACCCAACAAACCACGGAACACCCCTCCATGGCCTCTTCATCAGCTCTTGCCTCCGGGTTCCAGCCTTGCTTGAGTTCCTGTCCTGGCTTCCTCCAATGATGGACTATGATCTGGAAGTAAAAGCCAAATAAATCCTTTCCTTCCTAACTTGCTTTTGGTCATGGTGTTTTGTCTCAGTTAGAAACCCTATCTAAAACACCGTCTGTTATAAAGAGAAGTTTCTCTGATGAGGAGTCACAGTGTTAAATTTGTACTGTTCTATGGGTATACTTGACTTACCATCCCCTGGTTGGGTGTTTCTAGATCTCCTCCATACACAGCCATTAGGAAAAGCAGTGTGTGCCATTTTCCCATCTGCCAACAATGAAGCAGAGGCCCTTTTGCTATGATCTGGCTTCTCCTTTTGCCCATTAGATGAGAATCTTATTGTTGGTTTCAATTGAGTGTTTAGTCATAAGGAGAGGTGACACCTTTCTCCATCCATTAATAGCTTGTCTGCATTGTTGTTGTTGTTGTTGTTGCTAGTGGAATACCCCTGCTTTTCCTGTGCACATGCTTACACTGGAGTGTGTGTCTTTCTTGCCGGGTCTAAGTGCTTTTTATAACATTAATTCTTATGCAGCTTTCTGTGGTGCAGATGCTTCAAGTTAGCCTCTTGCCATTCACAGCATTGAAGCCTCGTGCTACTTCTTTGGGGTTAGCAGTCTTGCTCCCACATTTTCTTACTTTATTGAAACACTTAGGCTTTTTCTAGCCCCATATCATGGACAGTTGGCCCCTATTTTCTATTTTTGGTAATTTTATAGTGTTCTCTTTCCCCTTTCTCTTATTTTCTTGCTAATCTTTAATTCATCTGGAAATTGTTTTGATGCATGGAGTAAGATTGGAATCTAGAGACCCAGGGATGTGTCGATGTGTCTTAGTGCTCGAATGCTTGCCTAGCATGTATGAAACGGAAAAAAAAAAAAAAAAACACTGAAATCGCAAATAATAGAATAATTGTCAGGACACAATTAATGAATAATTCATTCTTTGGCCGCTGCTGTGAAACATCTTCTCATTCATGTTTTAGATACTTGTCTCTGCTTGAGCCTCTTTCTAAGGCTTTTTAATCTCATTCTCTTGATCTCCTGTGTTTTCAGACGCTATTACAACACGGTTTTAATTATTTTGGCTTAATGATATATTTTAAAATCTGACAATACAAGTCACCTTTCATCATTCCTGTAAAGACATTTTTTCAGTCATTATGTTATGTTTAGCTTTCACATTTTAGAGTCATTTTTCCAAGTAAAAGAGAGGTCTTTTTTTGTGGTTGTGATTGGAGTTGAATTAAACTGAAAAATGATTTTGGAGAAAAGTGAGACCTGAAATTTTGCTTTCCGAGAAACAGCAGCATTAGAGCTATGTGTGTGTATGTCTCTGCCTCAGTCTCACTGCCTCCTGCCAGGGACTCACTATGGAGCCCTGGCTTGGCTGAAACTCACAGATATCCACCTGCCTCTGCCTTCTGAGTGCTGGGATTAAAGGCTTGTGCCACCACTTCTGGCTTGGTTATCTCTCTTGCTTAAGGTGTTTTATTTGTTTTTATCATAAATTGTTGGAATTGCATGTTTATATTTGGGTTATTATTGGTTGTTTAATATGTGTGCTGATGTTGTTAAGGGGGACCTTTTTCTCTTAAGTTTCTTTATGAGTTCTCACTGAGGCACTGTTAATATGTGCTAACTAGTTATTTAACTCTCCTTAACCATTCTCCCCTGTCTTTATGGTAGGGCGTTGATTTTTTTCTATTGCACCCACTGATGCAATAGTAGCATTGAGGTTCCAGGCTTCACCAGCCAATTCCTGGTTGGATCTGAGGCTGGCTCCACAGAAAGGAATGGATGCCTGATGCTATAAACTTGCTCAAAAACCTATAACTAGGGATATGCAGGCCTTACAGAGAAAATTTACTACTGATGATTTGATAAATGCTTGTGCAGTTAAAAATGCCTTCTAATTTTTTTTTCTCTTTATACCCACAGATTAGGGCAACCTTGGTCATCAGAAAAGCTTCTGTAGGCTATATGCAATGGTCAGAGATTCATAACTGGTCAAAGGGCTAAGAATAAGTGTGTGTTGCATATTCATCCCCAAACAGGACATGCACATTAGCCCTTTGAGGCCCAGGGAACATTGCAGAATGCAGGATGGGGAGACAGTAAGAGCCAGTGGTTAGGGAAGAAAGCTGTAAAATGCTGACTTGTAGGTGTGGCATGGCCGCTGCTATCATGAGCATACAGCGACTGTGACCACCTGCACAAGGCATGTATATGCACACACAAGAAAGAAAAAGTCATGAAAATAGAGAAAGACTAGCTGGGAAGGAGAGAGACAAGAGACATAATGGGGAGTGAATATAATCACAATACATTAAGATTTATACCATGTGCAAATAAGAATTTGCACCTTTGCAGAAGTCATGCCTCTCAATTCACTTTCTATTTTGTTTTGTGGGTTAGTGGTGCAGTGTAACTCTTTCCCAACACTTTTTTATTTTTCCTTTGACAAGAACGCATCTAGTGTTTCATTAGATAACCCTGTGATATGAAGGCTGGTGTGTGCTAACGTTGCTTGAAGGAAGTGTCTTATTAAACATTCTTCATGGCAGTAGACACTGGATTTCATCAGATGCCTTCCTGATTCTTGAGAGTTAATCGTATTTTCATTTCCTTAGAACTATTGATGTGGTGGAATGGTACTCATGGATTCCTTTATATTGAACTCATCTTGCATCCCTGAAATAAAACTATGTGGTCATGGTATGTTAGCCTTGTAATATTCTGGTAGATTCTACTTGCCAGAACTCCATTAAGAATTTTCATAGCAGTGTTAAGTTGGTAATCTTATTTTGGCCTGTCAGATTTTGTTAGCAGGACTTTGCTAGTTGGGCAACATGTATAATTTTTGAACATGGAAACTATCCAGGATCTTCTTGAGCAGTGGGGTGGGAAGACCTTACCCATATAACCTGCACAGAGCATCCTTGCTGCAGCCCCACAGCTCCCTCCCACACACGGCTCTGTCATCTCTCACAGGAGGAATCTTTGAGTATGCGGACGGCCCCAACGCCCAGGTCATGAACGCCGAGGAGCATGCCTTTCGATTTTCTGCCAACATCATCAACAGGAACAGGACTCTGCTGCCCAACACAACCTTGACTTATGACATTCAGAGGATTCACTTCCATGACAGCTTCGAGGCCACCAAGAAGGGTGAGTGTGCACACCCTTGCTGTGCACTTTCAACTTGGAGGACAGGGATGGGGGACTGAAACCTTTCCCACTTGGTCTGGGGGCCTGATTCTTTTTCTGTTTAGAGTAGCCTGTATCAATCCCCGAGGAGCAGGGGAGGGGGCTGCGAGGACATCCCAGGCTAGCCAGGCATGGTGCTGTAGCCTGCAATGCCAGCAGTCAGGAAGCTGAAGGAAGGTCATGAGCTCCAGGCTACTCTGGGCTATATAGCAATTATAAAGTCAGCCTCAACTACACAGGGAGACCCTGGGAGGCTATGAAGGGTGGTTGGTAAGCAGATTAAAGGTAGACAGGACCTGAAGTTGCCTGAGAGGAGGCCAGCCAAGGCCTCCTCTTTGAACCAACATGAACATTTTCAAACTTGAGTTTTCTTTTCTATTAGTTTTATTTTGAATGGACAAATATTATAGCTATTTGTGGTATAGGTTGTGCTGTTTGGATAATGTGAGTCTTGAATATTGCTCAGATCGGAGGACCTCACACATCCACCACATGTAGCATTCATAATTTCCTTATGGTAAGCACATTGAAAATTCTCTCAGCTATTACAAAATATGCAAAACATTATTATTAACCACAGTCACCTTGCTACAGAACTTATTTTATCTTCCATTGGTATCCTGCTCAAGCAGCAATAGGTAGCACACACATAAAACAGATACTGTATTAGCCCAAGAGCACACCATCTGCCTGACATAAAAAGACTTCATGAAAATGGCACACTGCTCAGTGCCTGCAGCGACTTGACCCCAGAGGCTACAGAGGAGGCCTGGATCTGACCCTGGTCCCATATTCAGTGTGTGTCTGCTTTCTGTTGCTGACATCACCACTAAAAAATCCTGGCTCACAATAGCAGGTTGTGTGAGTTCCGTTCAAGTAGTCCCACACCTGAATTCTTAAAAATAAGATAAAAACAGATTAAAAGAGAGTGAAATACCACTGTCAACAGGTACACACACTCAAGAAAGGAAGGGAGGGAGGAAGGGAGGGAGGGAGGGAAGGAGAGAGAGAGAGAGAGAGAGAGAG